AAACAAAGGTTTATTTTACAAATCTAGAGGAGATAGAGTTTGAATTTTCATATTGAAAAAATTTACATATATTGATCAGTGAAAAATCCGCACATATGATTTTTTATATGTGCGCTCAACTATGTTTGTGTTTATTATAATTTGTAACACCCCAATGTGACATGTCCTGTGACTAGTATGTTTTCTGTAAAAACCGTAAGATTCCATGCATTTTTCCGTACCTATTCCATAAAATAATCTGGTTCATGTACTGTTTTACTGTACAAATTCCATACATTTTCCATACATTTTCCATACCAAATTTTTTATAGGGCCCTTCTTCAAAAAAAAACAACTCCAGGTGAACACAATTATCAGTGCCTATGGATTGCCCCAAATATTTTACACTTTGACTATGTCTGAAGGCAAATGTCTTCAATAATTGCTCTAAAGCCTACATATTAACATGCTTCAAAAATTTCATATGTTATAATCTAAGATCCTCCAATTCTCTGTTGTAATTTTTATCATATAATTTTGGCTACTTTTTTATTAAAAACAATATTTTTATCAACCGCCATTTTTTTCTTAACACCCTGTATGGGAAAGACCAATCGAAATTATTATTATTATGAAAAGGTATGACTGGTGTCCCCTATGTCCTCATTCAAAAGGAAAACGTACATCAAAATATATATTCAAAGATCTGTTAGGAAAAAAGTTCCCACAATGTGCACCGAAATTCTTACAAGGAATGCGCTTCGATGGATACAATGAAGAATTGAAACTAGCTTTTGAATTTAATGGACAGCATCATTACCATCTTAACCCAATGTTCCATAAAAGTGGGAAAATAGACTTTAATGAACAAATTCAACATGACCAAAAAAAGCGGAATATCTGTAAGGAGTGAGGTATATGTCTCATCTAGATTCCATATGATGTAGATCTTTATAACTTTATCCAGGAAGCTTTAATCAAGAACGGCTATAACTGAAGATAATTTGATTTTAGTTGAGGTTGTATTACGAATATTATTATAGTTGGCTTGGTCTAAAGACCTCCTAAATTTTGGGCAAATTTTAAAAGTATAGAAGTCACTTTCCGTCCTACCTTTTAAAAAAATAGCTCTATTAGTTGATAGAATATGTCTTTGGTTTTAATGTAATAGAAATTTTCTCAATAAAATTATTTTTTGTAGAGTTCTATTCTTTTTTAAAACATGTACTTTACTATGCTCGCGAGGAATTTGTCCGCTAGGATCATTTCTAAATTTAAGAAAATATTACCAAATTTAGACTAGATATTGACTATCGTATCTAAATTTGGCAGTAAGAAAACTAAAATCACGTGAAGTCCTATTTTTTGAAAAATTTCAATAATATACAAAATTGCATTTTTGAAATTTGGCCGCATGGCGCAGCAATAGAAGGTCTTTAGACCGAGCCAACCATAGAAAAAGTAATTGATATAGATAATCTTATGATAAAAATCCTCATTAATCATATCTTTAAATTTAATTAAATATCATTAATAGTGATTTCTGTATGTTTTTGTTCATTTGACTGAAATAATTTTTTACAAATTTTATTTAAACTTAAGTTTTTTAATTCATTGAATTTTCATTGTAGAATTTTTTTATATATTAATAAGTATTGCTCAAGACCAAATTTATCAGTTGTAATTAATAGATTAAACATATCAATTCCAACATAGTTTTTTAACTATGTTTTTTCCGTTTTACAACTACATAGGTAAACTCAATAAGTTGGCCATGAATTGCTGGGCATGATGGACTGGCTTATCGAATAAATATCCATGCTAGTTTGCTTTGAAGGAGCTGCTGTTTTCTATCAATCTCCATTTAATTTTAAACCTCTCAATCTCGAAACAAATATAACCGTTAACTGTTATTTTTATATCATAAATGAGATAACAAAATATAAATGTATTGTTATGATGATGCATACAAGAATGTTTATAAATAAAATAAAACATTCACAAAGATAGTATCACCAATTATTCGGGAGAGCATATAAATTTGTGAATTTGTGATTATGTGGATAATTGTTAACTTATTTCTAAGATAATTACTTCTTACAAGTTATCGAATTTGATCTGCTTATATACGATTGATTCAATCATAAATACTTTTATCGCAATATTGTTTTTCCCACACTCTTCAACATATTATTGTGCGAACATGGTATTATATACTAGATGCCTGCACGTGTCATCATAATTGAGTGATTATCCAACCCGAACCCGTATAAATTTATAATTTGCAACTCAGACCCGACTTGTACATAAAAATTATAAAAATCCCAATCCGAACCCAACTTGCACACAAAAACTCAACTCGTTTTTTATTATACAACAATGTAACACAATTTTATTAAAAAAAATGTTTACAAGAATACTATCAATTGTTTTGTATTTAAATTTGAGCGAAGCTCATTAATTGTAAGTCCAGCCACACTAAAGTCTCTTTTACTAGTTGCACTGTAATATTGGATTAAAAGATAATATGCAGCAAGCCTTGAAAGTCTTGGATAAACATGTTAATGGTCTTTCCGCCATGTTGATAAATACACATCAACTCCATCTTCATCATTATCATCATAATATTTACTAAAATCATCTAACTCTACATTTGAAGTTGAAATTGTAGTTGATAATATTACTTGCATAGAATCATCATCATCATCATCATCATCATCATCGTTACTGTCAGCACCAGCACCATATATGTGTGTGTGTAATCTATGTTCATATATAATATATATATATATTTAATGAGCATTGATTCAAAAATATATATAATATATATATATTTTATATACATATTATATCATTAAAAATTTTTATTTGCAATTGCCAATTTAATTTCTAAATATGCCTAGCCTAACCTGTATTTTTTTTTAGAATTATTTAAATTCGGGTCATAATTGTTGTAAATCACAACCCGGACACAACTCGAAGTTTAATATTAAGGCCAAGTCCACCAACCCAAACTTGACTCTCGGGTTCGGGTGGATTGATTGGATGAATAATTAATATTAAATCATATGTTACTAAAAATAGTAAAGATAATCTCTCACATGAAACTGACTTATAGAGAAGAGTCTAAAATTTTGGTCGAGTTAGACCAAAGCTGACTTATCAAGTTTACCTGTCTGCGTATATAAAAATCTTTTATAAATAATTAATCAATAAATAAATAAACATTAAAATATTGATATTGGCTTTCATAATAATGTAATATCCATTTCTTTTGTCGCATCAGGCAAATATATACCTTTTAAAATATGAACAACAAACGAATTTTAGGACCAACTCTTTAACATTTAACAAATATTTTTACATCAAAGTTTTCTCATGAGCTTCAATAACATCAAACAATTTTTTTTGGTTTCTTGACAATTAATGGTTCACCATTCCATGATTTAATTACTTATTAGACTTGTATATTGGTGATGATATCATTCACACTATAAAAAACATAAAGGCGACTTTTGTTTAAAGGTAACTGGAACAACTGATTCGGATTACGCCTTGAATTAGTTGTAATTGGTAATGAATGAGTAAATTTTCTAATAATTCAATAGTTGCTAATATTCTAGAGATTTTATTTCTTGAAAAGTTTATATAAAGTGTCACCCACACCCGAATACTAATAGTTACTAAAATAAATTACAAAAATTACAAATTACAAATTATAAATTATAAATTACAGATTAAATTTAAAATTTTTCCAGAAAAAAATAGCATTTTATCTGATAATTAATGGTGATTTTTATCAAGTAAACCAATGCTACCTGCAGTAGTCTTAGTGGATGAATTATAATTTGATAATTGATGGGTTTGTTGCAAATGATGTTGAAATTATTGGCAAATTATTATTATTATTATTATAAAGATTTTATGGCAGTAGTAATATTATTAGTCGAGGGAGACAAGCTCATATATTCTACTAATAAAATCACTCAATAATAATATTGAACTTGATACTAATGTTAAAAATGGTATGAATTCTAATTCATTTCTTCCATGTTTATAAATAATCTAAACAATGTTTTAAAATAATGTTAATAGAAATTAATATTAATTCTTTCATACATAATATTTATATTTGCTTGCTACTTACTAAAATTACAAGTTGTGGTATATCTTCAATAAACATATTAATCAAACCACCAATAATGATTAATTTTAAAGCTTTTCGATTAAAATTAGCACTGAAAATTTCTTTATCTAAAAAATTTGAATTTAATATCCTCAAGGCCTCAATATTTAACATTGATAAAATTGTCATTGCAGAAGCAAAACCTGTATGACTACGTAACCAAGCTTTAAACTCTAGATTGTTCTTTTTGCGACTTTGGTTAATAATTATTGTCAATGCCAGTAATAAATTGACTCCAGCTGGTAAAGCAAGTGCCACCAAACTAATATTTTATATATATAAATATTGTGAACATGTGGATGTGACTGTATGTGTATGTCAATAGGCATGTGAATAAATTTATTTATTTACCTTGGAATTAGTAAATATCTACCATCGGGTCTAAGTATATTATTTGTTAAAAATGCAAGATCTAATATTAAATCTACTATAATCAATGTTGTTGTAAATATAATTGTATTTCTTCCCTAATTATATCAAACAAATCAATTAGATTAATCAATCATCATCTAGATAATCAAATATGACTAAAAATTTGTGCACAAGCACACATGTACCTCCTTATGTTTCCCCCGAGCATAAAAATAAAAAATCACCAATATAAAAAACACCGCTCCAACAACTATTAATGTTATTTTATTTTCTAAAAGCAATGTTGCTAACCAAATATAATAAAGTAAAAAATTTATTATTAACATGGCTATTACAAATATTATTATTAGAGAATTCTTACATGTCTCATTTAGCATATCATTCATATAATTATTTGATGTATCTGAAGCTGTATCATTTTTTAATGGTTCTCGTTTATTGAAAATGTTACTTTTTTGAAGGTTCTTATCATCATTATTATATGATAAACATGTAGAAAATAATATTGAGAAATATGTAAATATTGAAATTATAAATTTTCTAGACAATGAATTATTTAATTTTATTAAATTGTTCATTTTTTATCAATTATTGTGATTTTTATATAAAATAAAGCAAAAAATAAAGAAAGTTTAACATAAAATTCAAGTGAATAAATATATTTATTTTAATATCTAATATAAACATTCAAATATTTTTGCTTTATTTCAATAAAGGAGGGTGAATAATTAATTGGCTTTGGGGAGGATTAATGGATGAAAGTGAGCATATTCTGGAAAATGATCCATAAAAAAAATAATATATATTGAAAAGATCGACCAAGGTTTTTTACTAAATTATTTTGCCATTTAGAATTTACCAAATTCGCGTTACATCAGTGCAGTGTTGTGCCCATTTATGGTTCCAATAAAAATTTCAATTGGAATTGAAACATTCTAAATGTGGTTCCAATAAAGTTAACCAATGAAATTCAATTACAGTGTCATACACACGGATTTTATTGGTTAATATCAATTGAAGATCTACATCGGAACGTTACATTGTTCCAATTGCACAGCACTGCATCAGTGCAGCATTGTAAATAGCAGTAATGAATGAATGGTAGTGGACGTCACACAAAAACAAAATTTTCTTGGCATTTGAAATAAAAGGAATTTTTTTTTTTACTAATATAATGATAATACCTTCTCTTTTAATAATTTGATTCGATCTATTTATTTATCTAAAATATTATCTACTTCATCTTGACCATCAATTCATTACTATTATTCATTGTCTAGTAGAAATTGTAGTTGTTTTGTTATATAATATATACTAGTTAATTTCTTAAATATAAATATAAATAAATATAAATATGTTAATATGTTTATATAAAAAATTAAATACAACATATTAACATATAAATGAAAACGTAAAATAAAATTTCATACATATAATAACAATGCTCTTAACCACTCATTATCATTAACATTACAGTAATATTCAGAGCAATATTTAATGCAGTAATTCTGACCTGCATAGATCATAAAAACCTTCAAGCTTACATTTCTAATATAACCTTTCAATCAATATGGATTGGGTTAAATGGATCAAGTTTTAGCGAAACGAAAGACAAGACAAAAAGGAGTGTAAAAAAAAATTTTCTTTTTTCCATTTTAAGTTAATTGAAATCTCATGTCTCACAAAAGATTGGCGTTCGTTTATGCTGTTTTTATTTTTATTGTTAATTCAAGATTCTGTTTTATTGATGAAACAGATAGAAGTATCTGAAACTATCTTTAACATTTTAGATTGGTCTTTATGATTCTGTCATAATCATCACATTTGCCAAACTCCAATAGGTATTAGTTTCTCGGAGTTGAAAGCTAACTAACAATAAATAATAATTATAATCTTTTGAACCAAAGCTCCGAACGAGAACCAAGAAATATTAGACTCGAATAACTCGAGTTTGAGGTTACGTAAATTTTTAAATTAAGAGTCTATTTTCTTGAACTCAGCTCTAATTTGAAAATTCAAGTTTTAACTCGAACCTCTCGACTTAAAGTTACTGTTCGAATAAGGTTTGTCCAAATTAAGATTGAGCCGTATTATTATTACGAATAGAAACTTTAGCTCAACTTAACAATAATAACTCTCTGAGTATGGGTGTACAGTCAAACCTCTTTGCGTTGCAACGAATTTTTAAAAACATAAAATTCGTTTAAACGTGTTTGGTATTTATTTAAATGCAATTTTCTTGTGCGTCCCATAGATTCGTTCGAACGAGGTTTGATGTATGCATATTAATATACTTTAGAACCTAAAAATATTGTTAAACATGGAATCTAGGGAATGGACAGATCAGTACTATACGTATAATGCGTATATTTCTAGATGTGAAAATCATTTACACCTTTGTCCCAATGCCACAATTCAAACTAAAAAAAATTATTTTTGGAGAACATTTTGATACTTCAAATACTAGTATACAGATAAGTGACAACGTAATTGGGAAATTAATGAAACGTATGAAAATTTTATGATATTTAATTTATTCAATATAAATAACAAGTAAAATTAGTCATGAACTGGTTTTTGATGCAAAGTAAGGATAATAAGTGGTGTTATTAGTTAATTAACGGTTGATTTAACTTGTTGTAAAAAACCAAACTTTTAGCTAGTTACCCAGGTCTTCACACAGTCCTTGGCAAATTGTTAACACAATACTGTCGGTAAAGTGTCCTGTCGGTAAAGTGTCTTGTCGGTAAAGTGGGTGTCGGTAAAGTGGGTGTCGGTAAAGTGTCTTGTCGTTAAAGTGGGTGTCGGTAAAGTGTCCGGGTCCGGATAAAATAACAAAGAACAATAATTAATTCAATTGTTGAAATTAAAAGCTCTTCTTAAAATGTAAAATAACAAAATCTATTCTTACTAAACAGTTCTCTTCGGTTGGAAAAGGATATTTATTTATTATTGCACGATAAATGCTTATCATGTGGAAAAAAGATGATCATGCAGTATATATGGTTGGCTCGGTCTAAAGACCTCCTATTGCTATGCCATATGGCCAAATTTCAAAATAGCAATTTTGTAATTCGTTCAAAAAGTAATAAAATTTTTCAAAAAATAGGACTTCACGTGATTTTAGTTTTCTTACTGCCAAATTTAGATACGATAGTCAATATCTAGTCTAAATTTGGTAATATTTTTCCTAAATTTAGAAATGATCATAGTGGACAAATTCCTCGCGAGCATAGTAAAGTACATGTTTTAAAAAAGAATAGAACTCTACAACAAATAATTTTTTTGAGAAAATCTCTCTATTACATTAAAACTAAAGACATATTCTATCAACTAATAAAGCTATTTTTTTAAAAGGTAGGACAGAAAGTGACTTCTATTCTTTTAAAATTTGCCCAAAATTTAGGAGGTCTTTAGACCAAGCCAACTATATGATTTTCCAAATTAAAAAAAATACACACTTTAATAATAATAGTTTTACACAAAAATTCTAAATGTAAATAATAATAAAAAATTCCGCATAATTATTTTAAAAAAACCACTTTACTAAATAATAAACAAGCTCACAACTGAGAATGCAACGCGAGCTTTTGCTTTACGTGTTACAAATCATGCACACCATGTCACGCAAGAACAAAAACTCATTTATTTTAAGTTGGGTTTGGGATTGCATCTTCGTCGCAAAGAACAAAAAAATGACATCACTCAGGCAAAGACAGTAGTCTATTTATTAAATCCAAATAGGACAGCCGTCCGCATTTTTTTTTTTTGAAAAATTTGAGTATTTCATGTAACAAAATCGGATCTTAATCTTTATCATCATCCTCAAAAAATGATGATTCATTGTTGTTTTTGCTACTTGTTGCTATAATAATAACGCTTTCTCATAATTGATCATCATACTGTATTAATTCATCATATTTAATTTAAATTTAAATTTACATCACGAAGTTCCTATGCCATTTTCATCACATCATAAATACTATTCCATCATGTTTCAACATTAGGCATCAATTGAAGGTGCTTTATATTAAATGCTTCACGATATTTTTTGAACTTCTCTCTTCTTTGTAGAGATGAATTTTTAACACTAGTATTATAAAATAAAGAAGCAATAGATTAATTAATATCATTTATTTACCTTACATATAACACTTATTTACTTCTTCTAGAGCAAGACATTTAAAGCCTTTAATGCCTCTTGTGCTGCTGAATTGATTATACGAACTAAGCATCTCACTCTCTGATTACACACGCATCAAATTTAAACCTTCACTTTCATAAAAATTTTTAAATAATGGATCCATATTCTTGGTATTATAAATCAACATCTTCAACAACATACATGAAATAATAATAATATTCTAGATCTGAGTGTACATGTTATAAGATTTTATATTATCATGCTGTATATGAAAAGAAATATTATAAACATCATTTAGAAAAAAGACCTAACTTTTTCTAATAAATTATAACCTTTCAATGTGACAAACAAAATATAGTCAAATTTCCTCCAATATGAGAAAGTAATTCTATTATAATTCCCAAGAGTTAGTGATCCAATGTGAAGTGATTGAAATGGCAACTATCGAAAAGAATTAAAAGAAAAATTGAGAAAGGACGAGGAGAAATTCGAGAGGTTGAATGATTGAGGGAGGGAAGAGCGGAAAGATACGAAAGCGAAAGAAGAAATAAGAGGGAGAAGAAACAAGTGGGAGGAGCAAGCGTAGTATTTACAAAGGAATTTGTGAAAGAAAATGAATAAATTGTATACAAAAATTTATTCCATTTTATTAGATTTATTTGGCTTACTGTTTACAACCTTAGTCCTTTTTACATGATGATGATATAAGCTTTAAAAATAAACCTATTTTATATTTTAATGATCATTAAATATTGATAATTTGTTGTGTTTTGTAATATAACAACGCTTCGTGAGAAGGAAAATTATAGCCAGAATTTAAATTGTGTATAAATTTTTTTATCCGTTATTAGAATCAATAATATTAAAACAAAATCATTACAAAATGTCAGCCAAAAAAACAATAATTATTAAAAAAAAATATCATAGTGATATATTAATAATATTGATAGTAATAGTAGAAGTCTACTACTATCACACCATGACGAATATCTGTAAGAAGAATAGCAATCCAACAACTACAGCAGCAGTTACAACACCTTGAGAGTGGGGAGAAAATAGGGGAGATTTCTAGAAAGCTGTCTGTGGCAGAAGATAAACTTCACTTGTAAAGAATATAAATATATTTTTTATTTCCTTTATAATATGGTTTTTCTGCCCCACACAGCTAAATTTCAAAATATTGTCTAATTTAATTTGTTTTTTGTCGTTTGTTCGTTTATTTATTACAGTCGGGTTATTCGACTAATACTAAATTTTGAAAGTTATCATTATATCTTTCGAAATTTGTCTGAAGGTAATAGTGCTAATTACGACCCTGAACAAGATGATTAGAAGAACCGTTTCCAATATGTATTTAGAAAGACTTACATACATGATTTATCCATCGCGGTTCATCTAATAATAATACTAACAGAAATGTATTCACGGGTCCTCTGACAATCACTGTTGAAACATGGAATTATGAATAATTCGAAGAAGTGTCATTCTCTCGGAAGTCAAATAACATAGGAATTTTACTAGAGGTAACTGGAGATTTCAATATATATATATATATATATATATAATCCAAAGTGTGACAATAAGTCAAAAAAAAATTTTTTTGTAAAAGATATATGCATTTGTAAGTATACTTTTTTTTAATCTTTTATAGGTAGATAATTAAAGAAAAAAAAATACAAAAGAATATAGAATTCCTAACGAGTCGAGTTTTCTGTTTTTCAATAAATCGTAGTCTCACGAATTGACCTGGGACAGTCGGAGTTAGTACAAATTTAATTCATTTAACTGATTTTAAAATAAAGGTCCGCTTAGATTTTCAACGAACAATATAACTGATAGTAATAGTATATGCACATTGCTAATTAAAAAAGTTTTCTTTGTCAGTTTTATTTAAATTTTAGTGGTAAAAGCAATTTTTTCTTTACATAATAATAATAGTGGTAGATGTAATGTATTTATTTTTCTACTAACAAAAATAGTCATAGTAGGGTTTAAATTATTTGTTTTATTCGTTATTATGAATAGAAATTCTAGGTCGAGATTCAACTGACTTCGTTTCAACAGATTATAATCAATATTAATATTAAATTCGCGTTTCAACAGGATTTTAAAAATCTGTTACATATTCCTATTATTAACCCGTTGAAACGCGATTACTATTACAATCAGTAATTTCGTTTCAATGGATTTTAAATGAAATTTCTTATGTGTCCAGCCACTCCGTTAAAACGAGGGTTATACTGTACTATTGGTTTCATTCTTTGTTTTATCTTCTCTATAATCGCTATCCTTAACAGGATTTTTTTTAGTATTACCTTATTTTTTTTTAAAGTATTTTTTTTTTATAATTAAGGATTTTGACTTTCAACTTGCGATAAAGTAAGTTACAAAAACTAAATTATTATTGCATTTATTAATACATTATGAACAAAAATAACAATAAAACAGTAAAGGTAAGAACAACAAAGATAAATGAGGTGAGACAACAACAAGAGTCAGCTTACGAAAAACAATTGATGTTGGTATGTTATGTTAAGTCTTACTTTAGAAACTTTCGAAATGTATATTGAGAAGACAAACTATTATCCTCATTTTTGTAATAAAAGACAACTCTTTAATAAAGAGTTCAAAGATAAAGTAGGATCCGCTTGGGACTATAAGGATTTGTTTTGGATCTCAATTATTAGTTTTCACATAATGATTGGTCCTACCTATTATTAAAAAATGGAATTTTACAAGAATTTAGTTCATCTTTTAATTAGTACAATTATGAAAGATACAGTAACATTTCTTGTAAATCCAAAGCAAACCACAAGATGCGATTGAATGGATTATTCAGAAAGTTGTGTATAGAACCATAGAACAGAAACAATTGTTTGAAAATCAAAAATATCATCCAAGGATTTGAAGAAATTGAGAATATTGTCATGAATCTAAGCACAAACACAATTATAGGATAGATGCATTCTTTAATGTTTGATTATATATTTTTACATCATAAAGGCCTTAACAATCTCTCATTATCATTAAAATACTATACTTTTCAAAAATTGAGTTTGGTTTTTTTTTTAAAAAATAAAATAAATGCTCAATCACATGTTACAATAAAAGAATCGAAACCATATATTGATAAACAAGAACTAACTTTCTTTTTAACCAGTGATAATTCATCAAGCTAACTTATAATGGCAGATAACATATCATCCGATTTGGCTTTTTGGATCCTTTTTTCAAACCTTATATCTTATTGCGTCTCGACGTTAAACATGTTAAACATGATAAACTGGTCAATAGAATGATAATTAACCCCCAAAAAATTAATTTGCTGCGTTAAAAAAATTATTCAATAGCCCGTCAAACCAATGATTCCACCTCAAAACCAATGGGTTTTTGCTAGTATAAAGTATTCATAACGTTATGACCATACTGTACCGAATTTTGAGGTTCAAACAAAATCGGCGCATATGATTAAATTAACCATTAATAATAAACGAAGAAAATATAATAATAAATTAATTAACATTATATTTATTATTTTAATTTTTACCAATTATTTGAAACACTTCCAATTCATCATATTTACTACCATGTACTAAATTGATGTTATTATAAGTTTCTGGTACACTGCAAATACTACCATCTATGTAAAAAGAAAGATCACTACCACCCCTTCCAAAAATAGGTAAATGAGAAGAACTACAATAAACTGCATGATCATAATTTTTAATAACATAACTAAATTTTGCAGTGTTTATATCATTTTTATTACTCAAATTAAATATAAAACTTCCAACTGTGTTTTTGTTTCCACAATCTCCATTCCAATTTAATGGATTATATCCACCAAATATTTGATCAGAACTTTGTATTTTAGCAACTACAAGAGTTTTGTTGATATTATCACATTTTTGATGAAATATGCCATGATTTAAACCATCTCTACTACTACGATATAAAAGCCTAAATTCATATTTGACTTCCTTTAAGTGAATTATATGGTGGACTTTTTTTGTCAATCCAACTTGCAAAAAGCAATGTAATGTTTTCATTGATTGTTGTTGATTCAAGTTTTGGAATTATTGATTTAAATTTTGAAATTCTTGAGGGTAATAAATTCAAAGTAGGTTGTTCATCTGGAAATAAATAATAATGTGAAATATCTTTCCACAAAATCAAAGGAAAAAGCATATGATATGGCATAATCTTATTAAAGAAGTCCTTTTTAGAAATATCATGGAATCTAATTAAAGGAAGGAATTCTTTCAATGTGTTGCCTAAATCAGCAAAATTTTGTGATGACCAATCTTCAACATCAATATTATTGATTTCTGGATGTTTTGCTACTCCCCACTTAAGAATGTTTTCCCAAATAACTATCTCATCAACAGAAAAATCATCTCTCTTGAGAATTTCCAATATAATTGGCTTTTCCAATGATTTAAATTCACTTGATTCAAATAATTTTTCACTATATTTACAAAACTCTTTTAAATAAATATTTTTCAATTCCTTAAATTTTTCATTAGCATAAATCAATTGTAGAATTTTAAATGGATTTTCTTTTATATAATCTTTATGATTTTCAATTAAGTAATTCATCATATATTCACAAAGTGATTCAATACCAAGTTCATCTGCTGCAATTAATAGTTCTAATACTTCAGCCCCAGAATAATTTTCAAATTCAATTTTACATGTGTATAAAAATCTAAATAAATTATTTTTTTTATTATTATTAATTATATATTCAATAATAATAATAATAACAAATAAATTAATAAATAATACTTACTTGAGAATAGGGTTGAAAAGTTTTTCACTGATATTAGCTTTTTTAATAATATAATATCCATTTTCTTTTGTTGCATTACTCAATGTGTTGCTAAAAAATGGACAATGAGCTGATATGATAGATGCATGTGCATGAACTTCTTTAATGTTTGGTTCTACACCAACATATATTTTTACATCATAAAAATCTTCAGTGTTTAACAATCTTTCATTTTCATTAAAATATTTTTCAAATATTGAATTCATTTTCTTTTTTCAAAAAAAATTATTAAATGAAGATCGCCAATGGCCAATCGCATGTTAATTATAATTGTAGTAATAGTAAGGATTTATAAATGATTAAATAACTATATAACAACCTTGATTCAAATAATTAATATAAAGTCATAAATTTATAAGGAAATATCATAAACGGTAATAAGTAAAAAAGGAAACTAAGAAAAAAACTATATAGTTGCAAACGAAAAGCAGTATAAAAAAAATACAATTTAACCTATCATTATTTGCCTTTAATCAATTACCATTATCCGGAAAAAAAATTAGTATATAGCTCAGCTATTAGATCTTTGCCACTTCCTTGTCCAGAAACAAAAGCAATAGCAAGGCCTTTGTGAACTATGTTTCAATCGTTGCCCGTAATATCTACGGTAATTGGAACAAGAAAAACGCCAACTCTTCAAGTTGAGCAACCTTTATGGTAACTCGTGACTGCTCGGTCTTCCTCGGAGTGTGCTATTAGGTTGTTATACGTGAATAATACGACTGTTTTATTTGCTGGACAGACCATTTTAAAATTGTAAACTTTCCGCCCATTTTTTATAATAATTTAATTATTTACGACCCAACAAAATTTGATAATTTATAGAATATAATGATTATATATATATAATAATGTTGTGAATTGCGCGATTTCATATAATTTTGAACTTTTCGGGAAAACTTTCAAGTTTTCACAATTTAACTTGAAATTGATTTTTGATTTTTGTAGGTTATCGAATATTTAATTCACCAAATCTACTTATATACCATAAACACTACCATCTAATCAAACCAAATATCGTAGCCATGACCAAAAACAAGTATCACTCACTATTACAAATCGAATGGTGATCTTTATTATTAATAGCATAACTAATAATAATATTAAATGTATCTATTATATAAACTACTGCCTCTTTAACTCTTATTAAATGGATTATAACCACCAACTATTTGCTCTAAAGTTTTTAATTTGACAACCAAACATTTTTGATCAACCTTATTGCTCTGATATATAAGTTTAATTTATATTTGACCTTATTGAATGAAGTATATGGTATATTTTTTCTGTCAATTCAACTTGCAAAAGGTAAAGTAACCGACCGTTCCATTTATAATTATTAATCTAGATAACTGATATCTTGTCTTGATAAGTTTAAATTTAAAATAAGTTGATCATCTGGAATAAGAATGGTTGACTAGATTCATATTTATCTCCAAGGATCTTTTGACGAAATTGACGAAATTAATTTAGCCAATCAAATAAAAGATACTTGCAATACTTGCTGATCACTAAATAATAAATTTTAGTCCTATACATATATATATTAATTGTTTTTAAATAGTGCAAAACATTTCAGCCAATACATTAACATCATTCATCAACTTTGGACAAGGATAGTGATGGGGTAATATGTAATTATCATATCAGCCGATTTGATTTTTGGGCCCTTCTTTCAAACCCTGCACACATGTGAACTCGATAGATCGGTCATTTATTTATTTTAAACAATTGATTGTAACACACGACTTAATGAGCTTACATGTATATTTTATTTTGTGTGTGAATGGCCAGTAGTGATAATTAATCCTAAAAAAACTATTTTACTATATATCCGGTCAAAACAATAGCACTACCTCAAAACTAATGGATTATTGCTAGTATAAGATATTTATAACGTTATGATCATACCATACTGAATTTTGAGGTTCAAGCAAAATCGACGCATATGCCGAAAGTACATTGAAGGTTTTATTGATTGTATTGTACATGGCATTTTATATAGCAATTCAATATGTAGGGTATTTACCATGGTGATTATTCTCAATTCTTTTTTATCGTGATGATAAGACAAAGGGTTCCGAATCTAAATCATTATTTTGGTGACGTCACTATACTGATAAATATTTAGCCATACCTTTGATCATTGGTTACGAAAATTTAGTCGATTTAATTGGTCAATTTCGTCAATTTCGTCATATTTCGTCAAATGCGACGAAATAATTCCCCGCCCTGCAAAATATTTCGTCAACCATTCTTAATCTGGAAATAATTAAGATTGTTGTGAAAAAGCATGATATTATTCATAAATCCAAATCGCAAACTTTTAACTGTATTTTTCTTTTTTTCGATGTCATCCATCGTAATGTTATTTTTTTATTAAAATAAACAATTCCATCATTATTTGTTTTAAAATAAATTAATTGATTAAATTAATTGATTTTTTTTTTAATGAATAATACAATTATTGAATATGGTGTGCAAGTAACTCTTTAAGATTGGGAGTCACAAAATGAATAATAAACCATTAATCAATCATGTACAATTTTAAGATGTGAATTTATTTATTAATTTAAAAAAATATTTAACATATTTAACATAAATCATGTGTAAAAAAAAAAATAAATTAATAATTATATTTTTTTTAATACATTAAAAAACATAATTGTAAATTATGAAGCTTAAAAAAAAATTTTTTAACGCAAAATGAAAAAAATTCATAATTAATAAAAAAACAATGCAAATTTTTATAAAATTTTATATTATAGTTGGTGATGATTTCAATCAATTTTCAGTTTATTATAATTTCAAAACGTTTTAAATTTATCAACAAAACAAACTACAACTTGATCCAAATCTCAATCAATCATATATACAATTTCAATCCTAACTTCGATCTCAATTTCCAACTAATTTCATTTCCCAAATACAAAATTATCACACAAATTATCCAGTATTTCAACAATTGCAGACTCTCAGACAATTATTAATCAAGTTGAGAAGGCATTCTGTTTTATTACTTTGCAAAATTCGTTGAACAAACCACCACGGAAAACCACAAACATCACCATATAATATAGCACGCCAGTTACTCTACGTGATATGAATCTGTACAGTAATCTTTCAAAATAATTTTTGAGAGTTTTATGTATTCGAGTTAATTTATACAATCTTGATTTTGGTATTGATAGACCAGTTGTGGCGGTGGCGGCAGTTGTAGAAATTGGCGAATCTGAATCTGAACTTAAATTTTTAGTGTTGGTGGGTGAAGAAACCAAAGATGTGGAAATCTCATGATTTAGTATTGATGAAGAAGAATTATTTTGTCCTTCATCTCCTTCCTCCTCGTCATCTTCTTCATTCTCCTCATATTGATGAGGAAAAGGATAATGATCATTAATGATATTATTGCTGTTATTTTGGAGATGACGATTATGAGAAAGATAATCAATTTGGAAATTGACATGTAGATCACTATTATTATTATTATTAATGGAATTATTGATGTTGCTATTATTGTGATGATTACCATTTGATAAATGATTAGTTAGGATTGGTTTAATTGGTTTTGGTGAAACTATACCATTATTGTTAGTGTTAGTAGGAGTTAATGGTTGTAAAGGAATTACACGAGGTGATTTTGGAGTCATCTTTAACCAATTTGGAACATGATTATTATTACTATTAGCATTATTATTATTGATAGTGTTGTTGTTATTGTTGTTATTAGTAATGTCAATATGATTAATGTGATTATTATGATTATGATTGATATGATTAATATGATTATTATAATGGTGATTTATTACTCCAGGACTTGGAGGTCTGCTTGAAGGTCTGCTAGATGGCCTACTGGATGATCTACTGGAAGACGATGAACGATGCTTGAATGGCGGACGAATATTTATAACAGAAGGAGACAGATTATTGCTATTATCGTTATTGGGTGTTGTTGGTCTACTTGAATAAGGAGTGGAGTAAGGCGTGAAGAATACTTCATGGGATGAATCGAATGAAGTAACCCTGTACAAAGATTTTGGCATCGATAATACAGAGGAAGGTTTGCCGTATAATTGATAAATATCGTAATTCTTCAAGTCGTATTTATAGTCATCATTCCCGCCATGTTCCAACAACAAATCATCATCATCAAAATAATCCAGCAATTCTTTGTTTGACGAAGGGAAAAATATGCGACTCAACGATTCTTCGGGTAAGATTCTTTTGAATATCTGCCATATTCCGGAATACATCCAGCCATAATTCAAGACAAATATCGAACCTATATAACCAGGAAAATGATGTCTCGCGAGATCAACCGCAAATGGAACCAATTCCATATCCAAAGTTGAAACACCTGCACCTTTCAAATCCAATAGCATGACATACTGTAATATCATGCTATCTTTTTTCGACGAAGAATTTCTTTTATCCAATAATAATCTTCTGCAAATTTCAACATTGAATATAATGAATTTCTTTATATCATCGATTGTCACAGGTGGTAACAACATGTAATCATCATCGTTTTGTTGTTGATTGCTGCTGTTTTTTTTGATTGGTTGATCTTTTTTTGTGTATTCTCTGAGATTAAGGATTGCACAGGGACGATTGAATTTATCAGTTTTATGAAAATAGAATAAACCAATCTCAAGTAAAGATGGATGAATATCATTAATTGAAATATTGTCAACCTTATTTTCTATCCTCCATCTAAGATTATTTTCTAAAGCTTTACAGGCAATCTCAAAATCAAATCCAGCCCTTTTAAGAAAATTAAATATATTTTCTAATGATGATTTTTGGTAAGGAAAAAAAAAAAAAAAAAAGAAAATTAAAATCCCGATTTTAATTTTATTTATTAAAAAATAAACAATTTAACGTGCACAGTTTAAGTTACCTTTATCGTCTATATATTTTCTTGACCTTTCAAATGTAATGAAATCTAGCTTTAATTCCTGATTCAATTCATTTAAATAATTAAATATCGATGTTTGTAAATCGTCCACTATAGATTCATATTGTTTGTATAAAGCAGTCAGTTGAATGATTTTCTCTTTAACTAAATTACAACTCATTATTACTAATTTATTATTATTATGATTAATTAAATGTCTCTAATTACAATGATTTTATTATTTTTGATGATATATTCACAAATCTTGTGTAAAATATATATATATATATTTAGAAGTATATATATATAAGTGTAAATATGTAAAAATTAGATTAAAAAGTATATATATATATATATATATAAGCGTGTATATGTAAAAGTGTAAAAGTGTATATATTATATTACTATTTATAGTGATTTTTTTTTATAATTATATCAATTAACTGAATAATCAATATATTAAAAGAAACAAACGGATAACTTTAATTGTAAGTTTTGATGATGATGACGAAGAAGAAGATTAATATTTTTTTATTTATTATTTCGGAAAAAAAAATTTGAAAAAAAAAAATAGGATTTTATATCTATATTTATATATTAATTTTAATTTATATTATTAATTAAAAAAATTTATTTTATTATTAAAGTTAGAAGAGAGATAAAAAAATAAAAAAAAAATTTTGATGCTTCTCTTTAATACATTTCGTGATACATTTTTTCTTGTACGTCATTCGAATAATCATTTTAATAATAAATAGTATCCATTTTATTTATATCAGTTACTAGAAATTTCAACTTGAAAAAAATATTTTTACATAATGAATTAGTATAAAAATAATATTATATATTATGTATTGTAATATGTCATGCAAATTTTGTAAGAGTCACCAGACCAAAAATAAATAATCCATTTTTTTTTAAATATTAAATTCACATTCTTTTTTTTTATATGTTTTACTCTATTTAAGCCACTTGAACTTTCTGGTAAATTTGATGTTACATGATATCACAATACTTTCTAATATTAACGAATTGGTTATACCTTTGAAGTTTTTGCTTTTTCATTTATTATTTTTTTCAATTCTCGATATTAAAAATGATATTTAATTATTTTTTTTAACTAAAAAGAAAATAAAATTTATCTGATATCAAAACAATAAAAAATCAAATCAAATCTAAAATCAATCAATAAATAAAATCAATCTTTTGTCAACAAATTAAAAAATAACACATCAATAAAATTAAAATTATCAATCATCTCATTGATTTGATCATCAATCATTATTATCATTCATTATTATAAATATATTATTATTATAATTAACTCACATCAAATCCGGCACATAAACAATGATCCGTTTGCTTTATCTCCTCCATTTTTTATTTATTTATTTATTTAATTTATACATCATTATACATTTTACGTTTTTTTGTATTCTCAATTTACTAATTAAATAATAATTAACGATAGCTGGCTAGTTAATTATGGTCACAAGACATTGACTTATAGTTAGACTGTCTCTGCTAATTAGACTATCAATCATGGTTTCAAAATCATACTAATATATCAAAATTAGGCTTTAAATTTACTACGACATTACATCACCATTACTACTATTACATTGATTAAAAGAATGCATCATCGTTGAAAATGAGTTATTGTCTGAATGAGTTACTTTACTTGGCTTGACAGTTGTTTTTTTTTTTTGACAAATCAAAAAAAAAATGACTAATAATAAAAAAAAAATTAAAAAAATTAAAATTTTTCATAGAACTCATTTTTGGATTTGGCTATTTGTCTTGTGAGATCAGGGCGCTTTGGACACGTGCGTGTGTGTCTGCATGATAATCAGGTAATTGACTATCAATTATGATTGGTTGATTCGGAATCGTGCAAATACGTTTAATCCGATGCACACGATTCGCTCAGGTGACTAAAGTTAAAAATGAGTGTGTGCGAGTGATGTTATTATTTACTCTATGAAATCTACGAAAAAAAAAATAAATATCCAGAAACTTTTTAGAATCCAATTTAGGTTATTATTATTAATATAAGTTAATATAGGTTGTTATGATAACAATCAACCTTATTAGACAATGTCAATGTTAATTATTCCATTAGTAGAATATTTATCAATGATCATTACTACCCGTGTCTTTCTTTATGTTTCTTTGTATAGAATTTTCATTGCCTCCCTCTTACTTTGGATACCGTCACTCCATGTCTATGTATGTTTTACTCTCTCTCCCTCTTCATGTTTTATATAATATTATAATAATAATAAATAAAATTGACTCCACAAAAAATTGGTTGTCATGACGATAATAATAATAATAATAATAATAATAATAATAATAATGTTTTGATAAGGGTGAGTTGTTGATTGATCAAATGGTCGATCTTCTTCTTGCTAGGCTTGTCTTCCATTTTTATCCCATGGTTTAAAGTAATAATAATTCTTGACGCAAACATTCTCTAAATCGAATATCGTTTTTTTTTAGCGGGATGCTTTCCTTTGAGAATTTTTCTTTGTCTAAAGGAAATTTTTTTTCGCCTTTTATCTCATGTTACATGCATCAATCAATGTTGTGTGACGAAAAATTTTGCAAAGCTTGTTTTTTTTTTGGTTGTTTTCTGTTTCGCGTGTGATTGTTTGATTGATTCAAAAATAGATTATGGTTAGGGAATTAACGAGACAATAGTGCCCTGTCAGTCAGCCAGCAGAAGGTTCCTTGGGAGGAGAAAGTCAAATCTTGTTTGTTAAGGAATTGTGATTAATTCAAATCCTCGAATGTGCGTGTTATCAATATTAATTAATGCTATTTCTAGCAATTCTGTTATATTTTATTGTTTTACTTGCAAATCTGTAACACAAAAAAAACTAACAATGATAGAGAAACTCAAACAACCACTATGGTTAGTAATCAAAAAAAAAAAAAAAAAAAACCAGTTTTTTAAAACTTAAAATTAATTTTTTTGGGAACTTTCAAAAAAATGGATTCCGCCGCTTATCTTTCAGATCAAGAAAGTGAAAATGAAAATTTTGTAGATGCTGAGGAAATTGTCGATGTCGACACTCAGAAAACAACTCATAATACTGTCGACAATAATAATAACTCCTCATCTGCTTCTTCCTCCTCCTCCTTAAATGGAATAGTTTCCAAATTAGCAGCTTCATTACAAATAGAAGAGAAAAAACAAGTAAAAGAAGAAATAAAAAATTCAAATAATGATCATAACAATTCATCAATGATTCCAGAAATTTCTGTTACTGATACGTCTGAAAATAACAAATCAAAATCAAATGATATTAAAAATGATAATGATACTTTATCAAAAAGGGAAAGTGATATTGGTGCTAATTACAGTGCAGGAGAACAAGAATTAGATATGACTGTATATGTTAAAGACCTTGATACTGGTAGAAATGTTCCGGTCTCAGATATTGAACAAGAGCTTAATAAATCAAAAGTAAACATTGACCCTTTATCTTTTCAAATAATGCAAAGGGCCGGTTCAGACAATAAATTTGAGAGTGATGATGATGACAATGATAATAGATCTAGACGCGTAAGGAGCATTAGTAATAGTAGTAATAATAAATTTGATAACAATGATGAAAAAACGGCACACAAAGATACTAGCAAATCACTAAAGTATTTAATGATTAATATTAATGTTCTTGTGTTGTTATTGTTGTTGTTCTATTTCATTTCTCACATCACCTCATCTCACATCATATTACATCTACAAATTAACAAATTAATAATTAATTAGAAGACCAACATCTTTTTTGGACCGATTGAAAAGACGTCCTTCACATCAAGGAAGAGACGGAAGTGGCGAGGCAAAAGATGATGAAAAAGATGAAGTTAAAATAACTGGTAATAACGCTGAAATATTTTCCGAGACAACGAATGATTTTGGAAGACAAACTAGGCCTCAATATATTAAGGTAGGTTTTTGTACATTATATTTTTTAATTTTATAAAATTAATTAATCGATCGATTAAATCATCTATTAATATTATTAATTTATTATTACTACCAAAAAAATCCCCCACCCTCATGAGATAGGCTAAAATACGTAATAAATATACAAGAGAGTTCGATCATTTATTTTTGGCCCAAGAATTATCAAGTCCAAAGCCTTCAACTGAATGTGATGTTGATAATAATAATAATAATAATAATAATAATAACGTTTTAAAATATGATCGAAATAGTTCTTTGATCATAAAAAGACACCATGAGCAAAACAAGTCATTTCAAATATGGGTATTTTCAAATCACTGGACTCTTTCACTCGTTATTGTGGATTATTATTAAATCAATATTCACGTGAAATATTTTGAGATAAAGGTTCCTTTTATAATATTAAATATATGTATTTATTGGAAATAACGCGTCACAAAAAAAAAATTTTTCAAATTTGCATTAGAATATATCAATTCTTTTTGAGAATTCATCAAAGAAAAAAAATGAATTGTAAAAGTTTGATCTTTATATTTATAAATATTGTAAAGAAAACAGGTGATTTAATAGATATGTAATAATACATTTATATTATTAATATTATAATAATAATAAAATTAAAAAAAAAATTTGTTATGCAGGTTTATGACAAATGGCACAAACAAGTTCATCTTTTTATAAGGTAAGCTCTACATTCTGCAAATCCACACTCGCATTGAAATCACTGACCACCCGAGTCTTGCGAACCTCTTTCACCAGCAACATTACTACTACTACTATTATTATTATTATTGGTTATTGGTGTGGCTGGTGTAGCCGGCGTGGTTGGCGTAGTTGGTCCATCCATACTCACTATACTTGAATTTCCAGAATATAAACTTGATGCATCACTTTTTCTTCTTAGTCTGTTAGGAAAATTTATAGGTTTGCTAAATAAACTATTAATGCTACTAAAATTTGAATTCCAAGATCTATATATAAAAATTTATAATAATTTGGAGTTTAGAAATGGGTCGAATGTTGGAAAGTGCAGTTATTCACACAAGCAAATGTATTTAGTCAATTACCTGGTACTTAGAATTGACGAACTGTCGTTGTCGTGAGAATGATAATAGGCACAATCTTGACGGAATATCTTTATACGACCAGTATTATCAGCTGAAACTATAATGTTCCCATCAGGGTAAGTAAATTTATCAGAAGGGATGGATGTGTCATGATTGATTGTATTTGAATATATCGGGTCGCCACCATGTGCAATTAATTGTTTGGTACGAGTTGGTGCAAATATTGCAGTTGTTACTACTGCAGGATGTGCTGATACAATAATAATATATTATTATGATGATGTAAATAAAAATAGCATGATATATTTATAGCAATCGATTAATTAACAAATGAATAAATAAATACCTTCAAAGCTCTCGTAAGCTGTTTTTCCTTTTTTAAGCCAGCTGTTACCACTGCTACTTGATCCATGATGTGACGAATTGATTGACGCTTGGTCAGCGTTAAATATATAGACATGACGATCCTCCGATCCAGTAATAATATAACGACCATCATCACTAAATGTTGCACTTATCTGGCCACAAGTATTTTCCATTCCTTTGTATTTACATTCCAGTGATTTATCTCGCATATTATACAATCGTATCCTTGAATCATTTGACGATATCAGTAACTAAAATAATTTATGGAAATTGTCAATTGGATTTATTAATTGGTTGGTAAATTAATGGATAAATTGATTAGATCCACCAGAAAATATTTTTACCTTCTCTTGACCAGCAGGAGTACCGGGAAATGGCTCTATACCTGTTATTTTTTTGCCCTGAGAATTTCTGCCATGAGAACTTTTTACATGAATTTGAGTATGATAGCGTAGCCCATCAGTTTCATAGAATAAACAAAGACCTTTAAGTGTTCCTACGACTGAAAATTTCCCGTCCAAAGTAAAGCCGACAGAAGTAATCAATTGTGAGTCGGTCAATTCATGCCAATGTGCAACTCTCTTCTCAGAAATATTCCATAATCGAAGTTTACAATCTAAAGATCCAGAAAGAAAGAATCTATCATCCTAAATTAGCACATTATTTGAACAGGTTATTTTGAGGGTTAATATTAATATTTTTAATTATTTTTCAAAAAAAAGTAATATTTTTTATTTTTTATTTTTTTTTTGAAAAGAATGAAAACCTTTGGATGGAAAGCAATCGAGGTAACGAAATCAGTGTGTTGGAAGCAGCATAAACATTCTTTCCTTGTTATATGCCATAATCTAACAGTTTTGTCCATTGACGAGGAGAGCAAGAAATTATTTTTGCTCCAACTTAAATCCAATAAATCAGCAGTATGACCGGTATACTCGTATAATGGCTTTTCACGAAACACGGGAGCGCCAAGTTTAGTACCACTGACATCATCAAAAGCATTCTTTTTGCCATTTCTTCCCAGGAAGTACTCACGTTCCTCATCGCTTGATATTACAGCCCACACTCTAACCACAGTATCTTGACCTCCTGTAGCCAAAAATTTTCCATCTTTACTAAAACTCATTGTCCATATTGCACCACCTTTTGATTTTTCATTTTCATTTTCATTATTATTATCATTATTATTATTATTATTATTATTATTATTATTATTATTATTATTATTATTATTATTATTATTATTATTATTATTA